TAATCTTCTTGATTTGTTTAGAACCTTTTCATGAACTCTTAATTCTTTGCTAAACTAGTCATTCAGGTTTTGCATCCTTTTGTTATTAGTGTATCTTTTTAAAATTGTTCTTTGTTACTCCTTGATCATTTTATTGAATCTGTTATCTGTTCAAATATATCCATCTTGTGGATGTTTTTTAATCTGTGTTATCCTTTTGAGTAATTTGGTAGTGTGGCTTTTGTTTTCCTCTCCCTTGATGCCCCATGACTTGGCTTTGGGCGAGTTGGAAGTTTTGAGAGGCTGTTTGTTGCCTGGTCTTATGTTTCTATTGTGTTTTGTTTGTTCGGTTTTGTATTGTGCTTAGGTTTGCAGTCATTTATAGTGGAAAGACTTCGTTGCTAGAGCAGAAATCTCTCATGTTAGTGTCCCTTCTTCAGTGATGCATTCAGGGCATAGTCAACTCCAGTCATTTGTCTTTCCCCCAAGATCTGACCACCTCTATTAATTTGGGAGGAGATGATGCTCTAGGAATGGACTGCAGAAATGTTAATGTCATAAAGGTAATCAGGGTATCTATTTACAGATAAAATCTATTAATAGCAACACTATGTGACCTTGGTAATATGAAGTAAATCAGTAACAGTAATATTATCCAAGGCAAACTGGATATTAAGATGTCTGTCCCCACCCCTGCATTCTAGAGTTCCATTTGTTGACCCCAGGCTGTGGCAGTGTCCATGCTGAAACCTGCCCTTTCTGATGTTGATAGATAGGAAACACAATCAGATCTCAGATCTACACTAAATGTAGGCAGAAGGGCAAGGGTTCATGGACTTGCTACACTTTCAAATCAGGGTAGTTTTTAAGCACAAGTTAAGCTGAATTGTAGCTTCTTACAGGTGGGGTGGGGCCTGTGTCCTTCCTGGTCTGAGCTTAAACTTCTCAGGGGATCTCTTTCTATTTCATTTTCTGTTCACAACTATCTCCCCTATGACTGTCTCTAATCTAGTCACGCTGGGAGGGTTATACTGGGATCCCTGAAGTGAAGTTATTTTTTAGTTTAGTTGTTGTGAGTCCCAGATTTAAATAATAAACCCCTTCCTGAAATGGTGGCTGATGAAGCTCTCTGACAATGTGTTGGAATCCCTCTCAGGCTGTGAAAGGACTCCCTTTGGAGTAAAACACTGTGCTGCTTTTGAAATTCCTGACAGCCACAGTCTCTGCTGCTGCTTGTCCCTGGATCTCCCAGCCATGAGTGCTTACCTTGCTTCTAGGGAGCCAGGTTCCCTTCCCTGCAAGCTGTGAGCAGGGAGAGTCCAGATTGTTTTGTTCATTCCTCTGTGTTGTGGACCACGTCTCTAACTTCTCTGTAGATTCTACTTTTTTCTGTCAGTTCCTTCTGATTCCCGAATGTCAGCTTTTCTTTTTTCTTCACCAAGCTGTTATTTTCCAGTGTCAAGATTCAGGATCTCCAGGCTGAGGATTTAGCTCAGTGGCATAAGCGCCTGCCTTGCAAGCAGGCAGTCGTGAGTTCGATCCCTCGTACCAAGTAAAAAAACAACAACAACAAAACTGGAAAAAAGATTCAGGATCTCAGAGGCTGACTTTTAAAACAAAATTCCTCTGCGTATGTTTTATTTTGAAAATATCAAACATAAAGGAAATTTAAGAATTACACAACCAATACTGTATCCTCTTCTTGGCTCCACAATGAACATTTTACTGTTTGCCTTGTCTCCTGATACATACTTACTGGCAGTTTTTTGAAAGTTGTAAACATCAAAATACTTCATCCCAAATACTCAACATTTTGCTGCTGTTTGCCACTCTGCCATTTTCTCCAGCCTATAAGCCATTAAAAAAGAAAGAAAGAAAAGAAGTCTCTAGTGGTCATTTCTTATCACTGCCAGCTATCATTCTTTTTTTTTTTTTTTTTTTTCTTTTTGTCTTTTTCCTTTTTATCGGTACCGGGGATCAAACTCACGACTGCCGGCTTGCAAGGCAGGAGCTTATGCCGCTGAGCTAAACCTCCAGCCCTTGCCAGCTATCATTCTTGATTTGAAAATGGGACAGTTAAATAAAAGGAAAACAAACAGAAGTCCCCATGTCTTTGAACAGCAAGTAATTTTAAACAAAAACTTCTTTGATGATTCTCCAGTAGATACTTAGGGGTCATATTTATTTAAAAAGTATTGCAGGAGAGTAAAATTACGACTTTTACCTTAGTGAGACCATTTATCTATCCATCTATCTATCTATCTATCTATCTATCTATCTATGGTGATGGAAATAGGATCCAAGAGGAAAAAAGGTTCTATTCTGAATTTTCCTGGGCCAATTTGTGAGTTTATGATATGGATGAAGGAAACAATTCTCCCAGGGCCAGCATTCCAAAAAATTATAGAATATGTATTTCTTTCCATGATAGCTGGATTTACTTTAAATGGCAGTACTAATATCAGACAATTCTTGCAGTAGATATCTTACACAATAATGCTGAGTAGCTAGCAGTTGGGTTTATCAAGTGAAGCACCTATGGCAGATAAAGCCTACTGTTTTAAAGTCATCTGATTGCTGTACTGAAGTGGACCATCTTTTTTTGATCTCGTACTCTCTTAACCTGGGATTGCTGCATTGTGCTTAAGGATTTCATGTTTGAATCTGTGTGTCCCATTTCCAAAAATCTCTTATTCCCTTTAATTTTAATGTGAAGAAAGTAAGAAAAGAACTTGAACTATGAGATTCATAATAAATAAACACCTTATAAGATGAAGAAGGTCCCATTTTGGTACCTGGTGATACCTACGGTGTGAAGTTCTCTAGATCTCCTATGTGTCCTTCCAGATTCCTGTCTTGCCCAATGCTCTATAAAACATTTATAGTTCACAATTATAAATTTCTAAGTACTATAAATGTTCAATTTTTAATTAATAAAATAATGCGTTTAGTTTGATAAAAAGATCCATAGGTCATATAAGTGGAGTAAGTCTCCTTAAATCATACATCTTCCATTTTAATGGCTTTTATATATTCACATGATGTCAGCTACCATTTAAGTAACACGTGGAAAGAATAGGAGTGTTAAATTAGAACACATGCTCTCTTAAAAGGGAGGTTGTGGTGTGCTGATCCTTCCCATATTTCCTTATAAGACTTTACAGAGTCAAGCTATTCCTGACCAGAAAGGAAAGTAGAATTTTCCTGTCCTCTAGTGGATTCAGATGAAAACTGGTATCAAAAACAAAAACAAAAACAAAGCTACAAGAAGAGACAATGAAGAAGAATCATGAAATGGCATACATATTTAAGCTATATCAAGATCACTATAATCTTCTTATATGTCAAGGAGAAAATATTCTCTTTATGGTTAGGCATATGTTTTCTATGATATGCAGTAGCAGGTTGGCTCGATAATATGTGTAACTTTTGCAAAAAAAAAAAAAAAAAGTGACGTCACCACCAGTTTGTATTGATTTGTAGAAGCTGTACCATTCAGGATATTTATCAGCAATTCCAGGTTGGAGAAAGTAGAGAAGATGTAAGAGTTCAAGGAGAAACAACAAAACAGTACCAGATTTCCTACTGTTGGAAAATAACTTGTTCAAGTGTTTTTTTACATTGTTAATGATTGATATTAAGATATTGTGATATAGAGCTGGGGATTTAGCTCAGTGGCATAAGCGCCTGCCTTGCAAGCAGGCAGTCGTGAGCTCGAGCCCTGGTACCGATAAAAAAGAAAAATACAAAAAACAAACAAAACAAAACAAAACAAAAGAATTATATGCTTTTTTCAACATACAATTTTTATATACTAGAAACTATATCCTGTGTTATTCTCAATGTAATGTTTTAGATATCAACTTAGAAAATGTATTGAGGTACACATTTTTTCAAAAGTTTTAAGGAACTATGTGAATGCTCAAGTATAATCCATATAAGAAATTTTTAATGCACCCAAAATCAAACTTCATAAAACATTACTTGTAATATATGATGCTCATGAATAATCATTTTGCCTTCTCTTACCCTTCTTTTTTCTTTCTTTTTTTTTAATTAATAATTTTTTTGGGGGGTCTAGGCATAGTGGCATACATCTGTAATCCCAGCACACAGAGTCTGAGTCAGGAGGATTGTTGAGAATTCAAGGTCAGCCCGGGCTACAGAGTAAGTTCAAGACCAGCCTGAACTGCATAGCAAAACCCTGTCTCAAAAAGACCAAAAAAACTTTTTTTTTCACGTGCTAAACTGAGCTAATTTCCATGGTAGAGTTGGGCCCTACAGTTTGAAAAATAACCAGGTCTAAGATGTAGTTTTTGGTGTTTATTTGTTCGTTTGACCTAAGCATAAATCAGAGTAATGGGAATACAATTTCTATTAATATTTTAGTCAGTTGGCTAATTGTTTTGTGATGCTCAACTATGACATCAGTTTAAATATCTTACCTTGTTTTTCCTTCTAGACATTTTATCTTTTCCCCATTACACTAGTATTAAAAACCTACAAAATTAAAAATCTAAATGCAAATGAAAAATATATGGAAATTCTTTGGGTTGTCTTAATTGATATTTTAACTGATACTAACGAAAGAAAAGAAATTTTGTTTTTAGTCAGGGTCTCATCATGGTGAACCCCAAACTTGATTATGTAGTCTGGGCTAATTTTGAACTTGAGATCCTCCTGCCACAGTGTCTGCAGTGCTGGGATTACAGGTGTGCATCACCATACCCAGCTAAAGAATAAAAGAAGATAAAACTACCTCTCATGACTGTGAAATCTGCTGAAGAGTTTACTCAACTTGTACTAAGAAGGCTACTAATAAGCTATTACAACTGGTTCAAAAGAGAACTGAAATCATCACACATTTGTGGTCAAGCAAGAAACATTGAATATGTAAATATGTACAAAACTGGTCAGTATCCTCAGTGCAATAATTAATGTCTTTTACCAGAAACATGTTTATGGACTGGAATTATTTATGTGACCATCTGTTTCTTACATGTTCTCTCTTAACACTGTAGGGTTATAAGAAAGTCAAAGCAAGCAAAAGTGGAGATAACCTGGATGAACAAGCTAATCAGAATAGCTTAAAAGTATGTCATAACTTTTTCTTATACTAATTAGACTATTACAGGGCCAGGGATATAGCTCAGTGACACAGTGCCTGCCTGGCAAGTGTAAGTCCCCGTATAAATAAAATAAAATAAGTCAGTGTGGCTCATTCCTAATTAGACTATTACAAATTTGTATCCTACATTTAAACTTTAACATCTGAAACTAAGCCAAGTTTGTATAGAATTTATTCAATTTGCACAGTATTTAAAAATTTTAAAATGTGTTGGTATTATCTAAAGGCTTGAAACTCATCTTTTACTATGTCTTTTCCTCTGTATGATAGTACTGTCTTGTGTAGAGGTGAGAGTCTCTGAGCCCTATTTCATATGATTTTTCTGTGCATTTCTTTTTTTATGCATATCTCTGTGTTAATTCAATGTCTTTTCATTGTGATTTTCTAACTGGCTAGCACTGTGCTCTCCTTAGTCTGTATCTCTAGCATTTTGTTTTAATTTGATCTTTGCCTAAGACTCTAGACAATACAGTGATATTTAACAAATGCTGAACATTTTCTTGTCTTTTCAGCCTCTGTTTGTCCTTATCCTTCTTTTGCAGCCTTGATTTCTGTTGCTTATCTATATATTTTTTACTTTAGCAAGGTTAATCCCTTGTCATCTTCTTAGCACGTCGTGCTCTTTGTTCAAATTGATCCTTCTTGCTGGAAAGGCCCTTCTCTTCTTCCCTTACAGTTACCCCTTACTCATCAGATAAAGTCAAGGCTGCCTATCCTGTGATGCTTTCCAGGGGTCATCTAATTCTCATGGATCTATTTGGGATATTTTATACTATTTAATGTCTCTCAAGGTTAAAGCCACAAAAAGCGTGGACTACTGTACTGTATTATTTTGATATCTCTCAGGAGAAATTAGAAAACTATTAGCTAAATTTGTATTATGTTGTATAATCACACATTCCAGAGTCATACATAAGAGGAAGATGATTAAATGTTGTTCAGGATTTAAATTTTTCAGCACTGTGAAATTTATGTATTTATTGAATTTAGGTACAAAATGTGGAGAGAAAACACATGTTGACATATTTAATTAACCAGTAATCTGGTAAAGTTAAAAATGATATAACCAAGTTGAGAAAAATATGTTGCTTTACTCTTTTAATAGTTAATGTCACTTCAATAGGAAGCCTTGAAGCAGTAGTAAAAATGAAAAGTATCACAAGCCTTGCTGTCCTTGATTCAGAACAGTAGAATCTGGACTGTTGGCTCTCAGGCAAACCCTTCTGTGTGCTGTCTGTGTGCACCATCGAAAGTGAATACACCACTCCCTTATGTTTTAGTTTTGTGTTGGAAGCACAGAGAAAAAAATTATTATTTTTTGTATCAGCAGTCAACCTCAGGGCCTTGCATTTGCATATTTAATTCTTATGCAAAAACTATCTGTAACATACAAATTGATAGAAACTTCAGACAATTTTCTGAAAATTGTGAACTAAATTTTTTTTTTTTTTTTTTTTTTGGTCTTTTTCCTTTTTATCGGTACCAGGGATCAAACTCATGACTGCCTGCTTGCAAGGCAGGCGCTTATGCCGCTGAGCTAAATCCCCAGCTCCCGTGAATTAAATTTTTTATATTACATAAATGTGTTAATAATGAATTTTAATATCTTTGAAGTGTTATTAGTATAACACAAGCATTGAAAATGCCAATTTGATTAGTTCTGATACAATTCTGCATCGAGATGATGAACAAATCCATCATCCCTTTGAGTTTTCTTGTGTTCCTTTGTCATCCTTTCCTCTTTCCTTCTTGATATCTTCACCCCTCCCCAAGCAAGCTCTCATCAGTTTTGTTTTGCTATATATTGGTTTGTATTTTCCAGAAATTTATAAAAATGCAATCATTCATTTGAATTTTTTTTGGTTTCATTCATGCAGTCTAATTATTTTGAGATTTATGTATGTTGTAGCATAGTGTATCAGCAGTTTATTCTCATACTGTTGAATAGTTTTATGAAAACAGCACAGTTTGTTTGCTCACCTATCTTTTGGTTGGACATTTGGGTTATTTCTAGTTGCTGGCTATTATAAAAAGGCTGTTATAAATTTATGAATGAGGGTATACATTTTTGTCAGATAAATATGTAGAAGTAGAAGAGCTGAGTTATTGGGTAGGTGTATGTTTGTGTTTTTAAGAAACTACTATCTTGTCCATTGTGTGGGGTGCTCCTGCCACCAGCGTATTAAGAGTTCTAGTAGCTCTGCATGTTTGCCAGCACTTGGCATCACAAATATTTTTAGTTTAAATATTCTAATATGTATGTAGTTGAGATTTTAATAATTATATCCTTATTGACTAATCATGGACCAGTGATGTTGAGCATCTTTTCATATAGTTGTTTGTCATCCACATATCTTCTTTGGCAATGTGGCCACTCATCTCTTTTGCCAGTCCCGTGCTTGCTGGGCACACCTAAGAGGTGATTCATAGTAGCGCTGAAGTTGCGGCCACGGAAATTGGGAGTTGGCGAGCCCAGGGCCCTTGGCAGGAGAATGTGGTGCAACGGAGAGCGGAACCAACATGTAAAGCTGCACTTATTTGTGCACAGACTAATGTGCTGAAGGCACTGACTGGTTGACTGGCTCAGAGGAGACGGGCTAGCCCACGTCTAATCAAGGTCCCAGAAATTCATCGCAAGAAGAGAATATTAAAAGCTGTCAGAGAAAAGAAATGGATCACCTATAAAGGAAACCCCATCAAAATCTGACAGACTTCTCAACACAAACTATCAAATCAAGAAGAGCTTGGAGCAAAGTATTCCAAGCCCTGAAAGAAAATAACCTCCAACCCAGATTGATGTACACAAAAACTGTCTCTCAAAATTAATGGAGAAACCAGATGTTTCCCTGACAAAGTGGAACTGTGGGAGTTTGTGATCACCAATCCAACCCTACAAAAAGTACTGAAAGACATTCTAGAGAGAGAGAAAAAAATGCCAGGATTCCAGCAATAGTGGCAGAGAGGCCTCAGTGAACAGAGGGCAGACAGTGGAATGAAGGACAAAAGTAGACAATAAGAGAAAAACAGCATAGCAGAGATGAGGCAAAGAAGGTTTGGCTATACTCTCTAATACAGATGGCCTTGATACACTAACAAAAAGAAACACAGGCAGAGTAGAGCAGGAGATAAGGTTCAGTGAGATACTCTGAATAGGAAATATACTCTGCCTGAAAGATGGTTAATAAACTGAAAGTCAAAGATGAGAAAACGATGTTCTATGTGACAGGGAACCAGAGAGAAATAGGGACAGCTCATCCAGCAGCTGCAGATAGGGTGGAAAGTCATGATAGGTTTGTGCAGTGTAGAACTACACAGCTAGAAGGAAGGAAAACCTTGAGGCTTTAGTAGGTAAAGGAATACAGCTCAAGATCAAGCTCAGGAGTAAAAAGGTTCATCACCACTTAGGTAGATAACAGGTTGTTCCCCTAATCTAAAAACTAAAGGAGTTAGTGGGACCCAAAATGTACAAAGCACCCTGAGAAAGGAAAAGGGGAGGAACTGTCTAAAAAAGGAAGGCAGAGGACATTGTTAATAGTGTATCAGGATTTAAAAGCCATGTTAGTCTTATCGCTCTGTTTAGTTTGATTTTATTCTGTTCCAGTCAGTCTGTCTACTCATACTAGATTTGAGGACACAGACAGCTATCCCAAAAATAGCAGGATATACTACGGTAACTATCCTTGATTTCCTATTAACTTAAACTGAAGCCCTGTATTACTTACATGCCCTACTATGACTGATTTTATTTGAATCTGGTTTGTTAGATTGCTGTTTTGTCTTGACTGATTTTATTTGAATTTGGTGTGCTTCATAGTATCAAGTCTAAGAGTAGAGGCAACTACTCTGAAGATGACAAGATGCAATAACACACCCATTCCGGTTTGATTATTTACTGCTTTTGAAGTCCTACAATATCTCCAATGTTGTGTTTTTATTAATATTGCTATGTAGTACTATGTTCAATTATGTTATGCCTGATGATATAGACAATTCTATTGAAAATAACAAGAGACAGCATAGTAACTACTGTAGATAACCTAGTATTGTAGTTTTGTGTCTTTCGTTTTATGTTTTTTAGGAATTTGTTTTGTTGTCTTGTTTTGATTTGTTTTTCCATATAATACATAGGATAGGCATATGTGTAGAGATTCACGCATGTGTAGAACTTCTAAACAGTTTATGAGAAGAGATTATATAATTCATGATGTAATAAACAGATCCTCTGAAGAAGAAAAGACACTAACATACCTAGAGGTAATTCTGTTGCATTATGATATAAAATCTAGCAATACTATTATTCTCTGTTCAGAGTGATATTAGTCTATTTTCTTTTGTTTAATTTCAAAATACGTAAAGATATGGACAGCAATTTTGAAGAGAACAAGAGATATTATGGCAGCCATTTTTGATTCCCATATTGTCTGCTCTTGAAGACCTAAAATGCCTTCATCATCCTGTTCTGATCAGTTTAGTACTATATTGTTCAGTATGTATTCACTTATGTATGAAGAGATGGACAACTATTTGGAAGAAAACTAGAGACAATAGGATAGACAGTGAAGATCTCCAGTGATCCTGCTTTGAAATCTGTTTCTTAAATTGTTTTCTTATGATCTGTTTTGTTCTGTTTAACTTTACCCTCTTTAAAATAAAAAAAAATATCTTAAAAAAAAGAATAGCTACTCCTCTTTTGGTGGGGTTCTTGTCACATATTGTTTTTCATCCTTTGATGTTGAGTCTATGAATTTCTTTTTGAATTAAATGTTTCTTGTATGAAGAATTGTTGCATCTTGCTTCTTGATCTATTCTGCCAGTCCATGTCTTTTGATTGGTGAATTGAGACCATTAACATTGATGGTTATAACTGAAATGTATTGACTTATCTTTGTCATGTTATTTTCCTATTGTTGGCTCCTATTTTTTTGCCTTTCTTCTAGTTTGCCTTTCCTGGTGGTCTCCTTCTGT